GTATCAAAAAATATATGTTTGTGACACCAGTGTGTAATGTATTACTGTAGTTGAGCATAATTTTTGTATTTATCTATTTATATACTCAAAGTTTATTCAAAATAAGATATGTGCTTTTGTCAAATCACTGTTGATTGGGTTAATATGCTGTTAAATTTACTTCCGTGTATCGGTATGTATGTAGATAATTTAAGAATGACTGTCAGGTACGTTTTTTAAGAGTAAAGTAAAACATTAATTGAATTGACATATTAGGCCTATAATTATTGTTAATGTCTATTTTACAAAAAAGAAAACTGTTGTGTACACATCCTACCTAGCAGGAAGACAGCGTAGTCAAGATTTGCGTCGGAATTGTAGGATTGTATACAGTATCCGTGGTGAAAGTCTTGGTAGAAAAATAAAGAACTATACACATTATATACATGGTTTTGTTTGTTTTATTATTTATTGATGTATCTAGCATTGCTTATCATTATTTTTATAAGATACATGAACTTGATGCACCATCATTCGTGCACCAATCACCAAATCACAGCAAGATGAGTTTCTGATTATAACGTTGATAATGTATATACTTTAAACTTGAACAAGAAAGTCACTCATGATGTCCTTCATTACATAATTTTCCCATTTCCAAGCCAACACTACTTCAAAAGTGCCCAGTATTGTTTCATGCCTCATGTACAAAAAGTTCAAAGCAGTTGCCAGCGTTCATACTAATTACCGTCCTGTTAAAAAACCATCAACATACCGTAAAACCTCGAATTGGAGCCCTGGGCTTCATTTTTTTTTTTTTTTTTTGCAAATTTTGGGTGGACTTCTTTTCGAGGCTCTTTTGAAAAGTAAAGGGGGGTGGGGCTTCTTTTCAAAATGAATGCTGTAAATTTTCGGAATTAATACTATAAAGCAACAAATAGGGACACGTACATCAATCTGTATCATGGAGTGTATTAACAGAGTCTACCCTTTGATGCCCTTCCACCTCATAGGTCTTCCTGTCATGCCTACCTGTAACATTTTCTCTTTAGAATTTTTTTGAAATGTTATTACCGGTATATTTTATGCAGTCAAAAACACAAAACAGTACGATACGTAATGATTCAACTTTTTTAATCAAACTTTACAAGATATGATGAGTGACAGTATTTTACATGAATATTAAGTTAGCATTATAGTTTCCATACCATTGTATTACCATCTTCTTAATTGTAGAGCTCCAAAACAAATAATAATCATAGGGTTACAAATAATATGGTACAATTATTTGATGATCAGATACTGTAGACAATAACCACAGAGTATTGTTTAATATAACATTAGCTCACATCTACCTGCTATAACTCAAATTTAATAATAATAATAATATTCTTCTATAGCGCATTCCGCAAAAAGCCTCAATACGCTTTACAAAAAGAAAACAAGCAATGAATAATTTTGACTTAAACTACGGTAAAACTATTTGTCTATCTTACATGTCAGGGTAAGAGCGTACTCGCAAATCATAAAAAATATGTGTAAATGACAAATGCTGTAAAATAAGCAAATCATTCATAGAATCATATTTATGATTTAGGTCAACGTTACACAACCTTTGGTCTGTCAAATATTATTGTTGGTCCTCAACTGCTAAGGGTCTCTGGGTGACAAATCATAATCTCATTCCATAGAATCATATTCATGATTTAGGTTACAGTAACATTAGGACTTGCCAAATTCCTAATAAATATACAATTATAAACATGACCAACTTCAGCCATCGTGTTTTTTGTCATCTGACACAAGATGGAGACTGTCAGAAGCAACATGACGGTGTGCACACTGTAAAAAACATGTACAATTGTCACTGCTCCCTGGGTAGTGTTTCTAGTATATACAGAAACATTGAGTGTAGATTTGATACATTCAACAGAACATTTGATATGCTATCAGAGTACACATTATAATACTCTAGGGCCCTAGGTAGAAAAGAGAAGACTTCCTTCTGATACCTTGAAGGAAACACTACGTCTCACAACCCTACTTGTATATATTGTAATATCATGCAGTAGAATAGTAAATAAACGCTTTGCATTATAACCAGAAGAGATGTAGTCAGTTCAGTTATTAAAAGTAAACCATCTCACTTGTCATATCACTACAATATTACATAGTGAAGATCCAATCTTTGCATCCGGAACATACATTGGAATCGGGCACACCAACTTGAGAATTACATGTACATAATATTACATGGTGAATGACCAGAACCGATTCAGTACCTTTCATGCAACGATGAAAAAAAAAAAGTCCACCCAACAGTTGAAAGCAGAATAGTAATTGGAACCTTTTGAACATGCATGGAACTCGAACACCTACCTTTTCTGAAGAATGACAAAGCAGAAATACTCACATCTGCATGTAACAAACCGCGAGATAAAAAAACAAACGGATACGTGGCAAGCCGACAAACGACAGGAAACGAAATCGGATTTGTGACAAGCCGACAGATGATAAAGATGACAGGATTCGAGACAAGCCGACATTAATTGGACTTCCCTCCCTGATGACGGAAATGACGACGCTCCAGAATATTTTTGAACATTACACTAAACTCTACTTTGAACATTATATTTTTGTTTTACATTTTATTTTTGATATGAACTTGTATGAATGTTGTGAGGATTACAGACGTATAATTGGGTAAGTTGAATACATTGTTACATTCCATCATTGTGAGAAAGAGTTTTTTTTTTTTTTCACTTTTCATCCATCATTAAAATTCAGTTTTAATTTAAACATATTTTTTGAATTAGTTTGATTTTACCACATCAACCACATTTTTTTGTAGTGCGCATTTTTTTAAAACAAGGTCAAAATAGCAAAATGTTGAATATTAATACAAGCACATTTTCATTGATACCTGATTGATTTAGATATGAAAACACAAGTATAAACATCAATAATATAGCAATTATTCAGCACAGATTGGGTTAACGGACTGTTGATTTTGCAGAATCACACATGTATACCAATTTGTATAACCAATTTCAATTGCTCAAAGCCAGGCAATTTTTGAGGTTATTAAAGCTAAAATGATAATTGATATAAATAAATTCATTTGTTAATTTAATTGATTTACTGGCCAGAAGTTTTATAAATGTTTAATTGATATGACTTGAACTTGTAGAGGAAAAATTCTTCGATTATAAATTGTGATGATAACCATTCACTTACTAATTGCACCACTCGTAAAGGCACTTCAAAATTCAAGAATATTGAATTTGATTTTCTTATTCCCAAATTTAATTTATCGTGTAAACATGGAATTATACTGAAATCTTGACAGAAGTATTCATGCAAACGTTGAATTTAATTATTGAGAACTTGAATTTATATTGTGTGAATACACAGCGTAATGATTTAAGTACGAATTATATTGACATGTTGTCTAATGATTTAAATTGAGTTTATAATTTTATGATGAGGAATACAACAATTTTGTTTATGATTTAAGTGTAATGAAGCGATTAATTAATTATTGAATAATCCAAGCTTATATTGCAACACTAAATGAACAAGCTTATTACTTGTTGAGTTGTTAATGCCAAGAAAGATAATGAAAGATATGTAATATGACGATAAATTCGTCAGTTTAAATGAATACTGAATATAAGTACATATGGGTACAAATAATCTAAATTTACATAATTTTACTTGTAATGAAATGCTTAGGATAAATGAATGACAAAAGTATACTAATAAATGATTATGAAATACGCGATGACATTAAACGATAACGAGTTAAAGTGCATATGTGTATTGCTAGTAAACACGAATAGATGAATTCCAGTCTACGTGTAATAGAAAAAATTGATTTTTTTTATAAAATAAGTAAATAATGTTTAGTTAAATAAAAGTTAATTTCAGTTCCTCCTTATAAAGTTATTTTACTTTTAAATATTTTCGTATGTCGGATATGGCAAGACTAGACGTTTAAATATAATCTTATGTTACATCGATGACACTAAGACACATTCCAAAACAACAAAGCGTATCAGATTGATTAACCTCGAAAATCAAAAATGTTATTCATTTGTATTTTTTTAAAGAAGAGAATGGAGAGAAAGAGAGAGTGAAGATGAGAAATTGATGGAATTAACATGTATTCATCTTGCACTACCAAATTTAATTTTTTTTTCCAATGTTATATGCTATGTCATATTTTATGTTTAACGCTTTAATTTTTATAATGAATTGTGATGTTACTTCACATTATGCTTATTAATGCATTGTACAGTAGTATATTTTACCTTATGTCAAAACATTAAAAAAAAAAAACAATTATTGAAAGGGATGTTATATAGTATTAAGATAACTTACGAATATAGGCCAAATCAATAAAACCATTGGACTGAAATTTTACCTCACTACCCCATTACCTCACTAACCAAGTGGGCATCTGTTAAACATCTCCCTAATTATTATATATGAAGTCTTTGACAGGACAATAGCCAATTCATGACAAAAAGCCCAGGTGGTCAACTCCTTACATTTGATTTATAAAATAAGCTCAATTGAGAGACAGCTTGTTACTAAATATAAGTTAAGTTCTACCCCCAAAGTTGTTATATTATCTGACCAATAGAAACTCCCCAAAATGATGTAATAGTCAAATGATTAGGATAAGGTGATATCTTTCAACCAATTAGAGAAAGTCCACCACACCCCAAGATTGTATGAAAAGTAAAGTATTAGTTATCTAGAGAAGACTTCCTTCTGATACCTTGAAGGAAACACTACGTCTCACAACCCTACTTGTATATATTGTATATATCATGCAGTAGAATAGTAAATAAACGCTTTGCATTATAACCAGAAGAGATGTAGTCAGTTCAGTTATTAAAAGTAAACCATCTCACTTGTCATATCACTACAATATTACATATAAGATCCAGTCTTTGCATCCGAACATACATTGGAATCGGGCACAACAACGTGAGCATTACATGTATATAATATTACAACTGCCCTCCAACCTGAGCGTGATGTCTTTCAATACTACCTGATAAATTACAATGGCTCATGTCAATATGGATCAGGTGTAGAGAGACTTTCAAAAATTGAGCTAATGTTCTTCCTCTGATTGAAGATAGGTTAATCCTACTCATGTCTACCCTCTTTCAATTCAATTCTCACCTACTGAGTCAACCAGCTTTCAAGATGATCAGATGCGAGTGTGTAATCACTCCATTTTAAGGTACTATCATAACGATCATCAATCACCCTAATTAACTCAGCAAGTGATTTATTATCAATATCTGAAAGGTCATTGCCCTTCAATGTAAGCATGTTGTCTTTCAATACTACATTCATCCTACAACATTCCTCCATCATTTCATTAATAATACTACCTGATAAATTACAATGGCTCATGTCAATATCGATCAGGTGTGGAGAAACCTTCAAAAGTTGAGCTAATGTCCTTCCTCTGATTGATGATAGGTTAATCCTACTCGTGCCTATCCTCTCCCAATTCAATGTCTCATTCTCACCTATTGAGTCAACCAGCTTCTCTAGATTATCAGATGTGAGTGAGTAATCACTCCATTTTAAGGTATCATAAGGCTTGTTATGTCTTAGTAAGTAATTATCAAAGGTATCATGAGGCTCACCAATCACAGTAATTAACTCAGCAAGTGATTTACTATCAATATCTGAAAGGTCATTGCCCTTCAATCTAAGCATGTTATCTTTTAATACTACATTCATCCTACAACATTCCTCCATCATTTCATTGATAATACTACCTGATAAATTACAATGGCTCATGTTAATATAGATCAGGTGTGGAGAGACCTTCAAAAGTTGAGCTAATGTTCTTCCTCTGATTGATGATAGGTTAATCCTACTCATGTCTATCTCATCCCAATTCAATGTCTCATTCTCAACTACTGAGTCAACCAGCTTTTCAAGATGATCAGATGTGAGTAAATAATCACTCCATTTTAAGGTACTATCATAACGATCATCAATCACCCTCATTAACTCAGCAAGTGATTTACTATCAATATCTGAAAGGTCACTGCCCCTCAATATAAGCATGTTATCTTTCAATACTACACTCATCCTACAACATTCCTCCATCATTTCATTAATAATACTACCTGATAAATTACAATGGCTCATGTCAATATGGATCAGGTGTGGAGAAACCTTCAAAAGTTGAGCTAATGTTCTTCCTCTGACTCTGAGTCATTGCCCCTCAATATAAGCATGTTATCTTTCAATACTACATTCATCCTACAACATTCCTCCATCATTTCATTAATAATACTACCTGATAAATTACAATAGCTCATGTCAATATCGATCAGGTGTGGAGAAACTTTTAAAAGTTGAGCTAATGTTCTTCCTCTGACTCTGAGTCATTGCCCCTCAATATAAGAGATGTGTATAAGAGACAGGTTCCTCCTTATAAAGTTATTTTACTTTTAAATATTTTCGTACATTACGTCGGATATGGCAAGACTAGACGTTTAAATATAATCTTATGTTACATCGATGACACTAAGACACATGCCAAAACAACAAACCGTATTAGATTGATTAACCTTGAAAATCAAAGATGTTATTCATTTGTATTTTGTTAAGAAAAGAATGGAGAGAAAGAGAGAATGAAGATGAGAAATTGATGGAATTAACATGTATTCATCTTGCACTACCAAATTTAATTTTTTTTCCAATGTTATAGAGAGACTTTTAAAAGTTGAGCTAATGTTCTTCCTCTGATTGAAGATAGGTTAATCCTACTCATGTCTATCTCATCCCAATTCAATGTCTCATTCTCACCTACTGAGTCAACCAGCTTTTGAAGATGATCAGATGTGAGTGAGTAATCACTCCATTTTAAGGTACTATCATAACGATCATCAATCACCCTAATTAACTCAGCAAGTGATTTATTATTGATATCTGAAAGGTCATTGCCCCTCAATATAAGCATGTTATCTTTCAATACTACATTCATCCTACAACATTCCTCCATCATTTCATCAATAATACTACCTGATAAATTACAATGGCTCATGTTAATATAGATCAGGTGTGGAGAGACTTTTAAAAGTTGAGCTAATGTTCTTCCTCTGATTGAAGATAGGTTAATCCTACTCATGTGTATCCTCTCCCAATTCAATGTCTCATTCTCACCTACTGAGTCAACCAGCTTTTCAAGATGATCAGATGTGAGTGAATAATCACTCCATTTTAAGGTACTATCATAACGATCATTAATCACCCTCATTAACTCAGCAAGTGATTTACTATCGATATCTGAAAGGTCATTGCCCCTCAATATAAGCATGTTATCTTTCAATACTACATTCATCCTACAACATTCCTCCATCATTTCATTAATAATACTACCTGATAAATTACAATGGCTCATGTCAATATGGATCAGGTGTGGAGAAACCTTCAAAAGTTGAGCTAATGTTCTTCCTCTGATTGATGATAGGTTAATCCTACTCGTGCCTATCCTCTCCCAATTCAATGTCTCATTCTCACCTACTGAGTCAACCAGCTTCTCTAGATTATCAGATGTGAGTGAGTGATCACTCCATTTTAAGGTATAAGTATCATCAATCACCCTAATTAACTCAGCAAGTGATTTACTATTGATATCTGAAAGGTCATTGTCCCTCAATATAAGCATGTTATCTTTCAATACTACATTCATCCTACAACATTCCTCCATCATTTCATTAATAATACTACCTGATAAATTACAATAGCTCATGTCAATATCGATCAGGTGTGGAGAGACTTTCAAAAGTTGAGCTAATGTTCTTCCTCTGATTGAAGATAGGTTAATCCTACTCATATCTATCTCATCCCAATTCAATGTCTCATTCTCACCTACTGAGTCAACCAGCTTTTCAAGATGATCAGATGTGAGTGAGTAATCACTCCATTTTAAGGTACTATTATAACGATCATTAATCACCCTCATTAACTCAGCAAGTGATTTACTATCAATATCTGAAAGGTCATTGCCCTTCAATCTAAGCATGTTATCTTTCAATACTACATTCATCCTACAACATTCCTCCATTATTTCATTAATAATACTACCTGATAAATTACAATGGCTCATGTTAATATAGATCAGGTGTGGAGAGACCTTCAAAAGTTGAGCTATTGTTCTTCCTCTGATTGATGATAGGTTAATCCTACTCATGTGTATCCTCTCCCAATTCAATGTCTCATTCTCACCTACTGAGTCAACCAGCTTCTCTAGATTATCAGATGTAAATGAATAATCACTCCATTTTAAAATATCATAATGCTCAATCACCCTAATTAACTCAGCAAGTGATTTACTATCGATATCTGAAAAGTCATTGCCCCTCAATATAAGCATGTTATCTTTCAATACTACCTTCATCCTACAACATTCCTCCATCATTTCATTAATAGTACTACCTGATAAATTACAATGGCTCATGTCAATATTGATCAGGTGTGGAGAGACCTTCAAAAGTTGAGCTAATGTTCTTCCTCTGATTGAAGATAGGTTAATCATACTCATGTCTATCCCTTTCCACTTCAATGTCTCATTCTCACCTATTGAGTCAACCAGCTTCTCTAGATTATCAGATGTAAATGAATAATCACTCCATTTTAAAATATCATAATCCTCAATCACCCTAATTAACTCAGCAAGTGATTTACTATCAATATCTGAAAGGTCATTGCCCTCCAATCTAAGCATGTTGTTTTTCAATACTACATTCATCCTACAACATTCCTCCATCATTTCATTAATAATACTACCTGATAAATTACAATGGATCATGCCAATATGTATCAGGTGTGGAGAGACCTTCAAAAGATGACCTAATGTTGTTCTACTGACTGAAGCCAAGTCAATACCTTGTATAATAAGATGTATTAATTTTAACTTTACATCAGCCTTGTTTAACTCATTGATGACCAAACTAAATTCAGATGCTGTAAGCCAATGAGTCATAGCCAAGGTAGATAGGTTATTTGCATGTTTTAGGAAATGAATCAAAGATGATGAACTACAATTAAAGTCTAAATCGATAGAAGTGAGATTATATGTTAAATGAAGGTTTTTCATCTCAGCTGATAGAATATTGATTTCTTTATCCTCCCATTTTGAAATATATCTGAAAAAATGTTTGGAATTATATACCCTTGGTAGTACAACTGTGTTGTGTACAATATTTCTGCAAGAATTTCGTAAAGATTCTTCATTGGATGTATTTATCACAGGAAATGCTTTCTTTACATTATTGTATTCAAGGTATTTATATTTATTCATAAGTGTAAATAAATGCACATTTGATGTGTCTTCATAATCAAGAACACTTCTGACAGACTGGTATATTTTCTCACAGCATGCTTTCATTTCATTGGACATGTGTTCATCCAATTCTTTTAGTACATGGTCTTTATATTCATTCTTCACATATCTCAAACACTGCTCTATAGAGTAAAAATTTGAGGCCCTGATTATCAACCAATGTTTAAACAATACACAAGCATCAGCACAAAGGAAGCCTATTGTAAATACTCTTGTCATTTGTAAATACTTATTACATCTTATCACCTCATATTCTTCAGATTTCAAGCTCCCTTTTTGGATTTGTTCAAACAGGTAAAATCCTGCTAGTGACTCTGAAATTAATTTATGTGGGGTAGTGTAAATCTCTCTTACTTCACCTGGATGAACAGGGCTATCTTTATAAACAAATCCAAGTTTGAGAGCTAAATGTACCAAATGTTTATCATTTGCTTTGTTTAACAAAATATATTTGTCAATGGACAGTTTATTTTCCTTTAGACCTTCATATATAATTTCTCCTAATATTTGCATGGCACGTCTGTAATTCTCAGGAATTCTCTCAAACTGGGAAATGGAAGTTCCACTGCCTCCTCTGTTTTGATATTGATTTAAATTGGAACAAAATAATTCCTTGAAAAGATCTGACAAATCTGTAGGAAGACATTTCTTATTTTCCCATATGGTACAAATATTAAGCAATAATAGTGGAGATGAGCATAATTCCAATGCTTCTTTGTGAGTACCACTAAACGATAGATCCTCATCCTCAGAATAATAATCATCATCATCATTATAATTATACCATGGCAAAGAATCTTTACTTTTAAATTTTAAATTTAAAGAACTACGAATATCACCATAATAATTATCATTATCAAGTCCAAACTCCCTAATTAGTGAGTCACCAATTTCAGCTTTTCCAATTGAAACAAAATGCTTATGTATATATTTCTTTATGTTTCTTGGATTGAATCCCATTACTTTAATATGTATATCACACCATTTCAAAAATTTACCTATGTTGTCGGGTCGGGATGACATCAACACGGTGCATTCACCCAATTCAGTTCCTTTGAATAGATCTATTGGATCTTTAGCACCCTTTTCTAACTCATCATATCCATCTAACAAAATCACTATTTCATCAGCATGAGTGACCAGAAAGCCTTCAACAGAATTGGGTGGCAATTTGTTCTTTGATATTAATGTTTGCCAATCAATTTCCTTCATAATTATGTCTAAAAACTTTTCACCTGTTTTTAGGTCTCTAATATTTATCAGAAACAATAATTTATTAGCAAAAGCATTATCTACATCATCAGTAGCCCACTTATGAGCAATATATCTAAGGAGTGTAGTCTTACCCATTCCTCCTTTACCTGTTATTAATACCTTACAAGAATCTTCTGATTTAATAACACCTAATACCTTTGTTAAAGATGTGGGACTACCTTTCTTTTGTTTAGATGTTGACTTAGCTTTTGATTTTTTCTCTTCTTTTTGAGACTGCATTAAGATGAGTTCAGTGAATACTTCTGCAATATCTAATTCATGATCTTCGTGCCAGATTGTTGGTGTCATTTGGTTCACATTGTGATACAATTGCTTCTGCCTTTTAGTCAAGAAATCTCTAATAATTATATCTGGAATAAAATCAAAGAAGAACAACACATTTCTTCTATCATGTGTATTTGTTGTAGAACTATTTGAATCGCTAATAAACCAAACACAATGAATGTGAGCCAACTATCATCAATACCACTGTTAGCAGTATTACATATTATACTTTAAGACATTTTATCAATACATTTCATTTTGTTGGCCAGCAATTAGTTTAGAAGATTAAGAAAACATTAAAATTTCAAAGCTCCTAATTAGAGTTGATTGCCTTAATAAGAATAGGAAATTGTCACTGGCAATATTAGTAGGAGAGGGCACATCCATCAAGGCTCTGTATTACAATGTTGGATACAGTAGTAATGATATAATTTTGGAGACTTCTACAGCACTGGATTCCACCATTCAGTGTTCATGGCACTTTTACTATCGAGGCTTAGACATCAGAAGAAGAGAAAAAAGAAACAGAAAACAAGTAGTTGAGTAGGCAGGGTTGTCAAGCATGTATTCAGCCATTCCTTATTAAAAAAAATACAGTGCTTTCTACAATGTTAACAAGAGTATCTTAATTATAACAAATGTCACCATACCTCGTCTTAGCTGCTCCTGGTGCTCTGGGTCTAATGAAATCACATGTTCAGGATCCTTCTGATTACCTATGTTTGAACAATAAGAACATCTGAGCAATTATTTCTAAATCAATTGAAAAAATTATTAATGTTTTTTTGTCCAATCACCTGGTATAACCCTTGTTACAAAAGATTGACTATTCATGTTGGAATTGAATACCCTTGCTCTAATTTAATACCCTATAATGTTTCCAACAACAAATGATTGTTTAAACTATCACTGCCACTAACACCATGCATGTTGGAATCAGGTACCATTGCCATAGTAATCCACAATGCTTCCAACAACAACTAGAGGGGATGACTGTAGCCATCACTGCCATTAAAAGCATGCAGGTGCAACAAACCCTATTGACTACCGTAGTTGTAATTGTCCAGACAAAGATGACCACACATGCACTTTTATAATACCAGGTTAATGATAATGTTTGGAGTCAAAACCATAAATTTAGTATATTAATATAGTCTACTGCATATAAATATACTCTTATAAAAATGTTCATATATTTCTATAAATATTATAGACAATCATGTACCATTACCATTTTATCAGAGTTTGAAGATGCATTTGAAACTATAAATGAACTGTACAGTGAATTAGGCCTACTTCCAAAACACTGAAAATACCTGTATTGGAAGTATTAATTTGTGTAATCTAATCAATATTATGTTAGAATAAAAAATTAAATACCTTTACACAGAGCATCCACAGCTTTTTTGAGTTCAAGTTTTTCTAACTTTGTAATAAATTTCTGCATATTTTCTTCACAAATTACACTTCTCTTTTCTAGATCAATAATCAAACACCAGCTGTCTGCATACTTCTTTAATGCACCATTATACAATCGATCAATCTTGGGCACATCATCTTCTGTCAGTAATGATCCCAACTTCATTAGTTTGAGTCTGTGTGGTGTGAAGCTGGATATTTCAATATCTTTAATATTTGCAGGAATTGGACATGATGGCAATTGTTCTTTAATTTTCTTTACTAAGCCAAATTGTTTGCTCACTTTTATGGTGTCATAGATTAGAGTGAGATTTGTTGAATTCAATTCATCATGATCAGTTAAACAATTCAACAAATCAATTGTTGTAGAAGCATTATGTAACACAGCAGGAGAAAGGAGATCTGTGTACAAAACTTTCAAGTTATTGACGTATCCACGCTGGTCAAACCATTCTGAGACAACTGATTTAAGTTCCATAAAATCTTCATTAGAAATGGCTGTAAAAAGACGAAGAATTTACTTTATAATTAAAAATTATTATTTAATTTTTATGAAATTGCACATATCAAGAAAAGTTTAATGCTTGTTTTGATCTTTCTTGCTAATGTATTACTCTGGACTGGTGGAACGGGTCGGCTAACATTTCCAGTCATTCAAGGAGAGGGAAGAAGTAGGGTGAGTGGGTATGATCGGACATCACTCAAAGCATCTTGGGAGAGGTACAAGGGGCGAAACCCCCCAAAACTATGAAAAGCTACAGTAGGGGTTTACTAATTA